CAGATATACTGAGATACTGAATCAGATATATTGATATATTGAATCAGATATACTGATATACTGAATCAGATATACTGATATAGTGAATCAGATATACTGAAATACTGAATCATCAGATATACTGATATACTGAATCAGATATACTGATATACAGCAGAATCAGAATCTACATGTTAACACTATCCTTGGTGATATTGTGTGTACAAGAGAAGCAGCAAGGGATTTTGTTAAAAGGTAGACCCTTTTAGTACCTCTGAATGGAAGAGTAAAGCCCCAACAGGGAACCAAACTAGAATGAGTCAGTTCAAAGCCCTGGTGAAAGATAAGGAGTCTGAGTATTAGGAAAAGAAAAAATGTAATCAAAAAGTAAGTGCTTTAACCAATGAGCCACGTGAGCCACCATTTCCACTGTCCTGGGACCAGAAGAACTAGACGGTGCCCAGCTACCACCACCAAATGCTCAGATGGAGGTCACAGTAGAAGGCCCTGGACAGAGTAGGATGAAAATGTAGACCAACATTCAAAATCATAAAATGACCAGACATACTAGTCTGGTAGAGAGACTGGTAGAACTGCAAGTCTATGACCCTTGGCTATTCCTCAGGCCTGTGACTGAGCACACCGTCGGGGTCACTTTCAGCCAAACAGTGAGCTTATAGAGTAAATAACACCTTTGGTGACCATACTACTCAGGACAATCAACCATACAGGACCAACAGGGCAGCATTTGCCCAGCCGCAAAGCTCCGAGGCAGCCGCAAAGCTCCGAGGCAGCCGCAAAGCTCCGAGGCAGCCGCAAAGCTCCGAGGCAGGAAGGAGCAGAACAGAAGAATGAATGGACATGGGGAATCCAGATCAGAATGGGAAGCAGCCTGTTAGACTGAGGGAATTGCAATTAATATCAAGAAACAAAATGCGTATGGATTGTTGAACGAAAAACAAATTTCGCCCTGTAAATTCCCACCCCAATTCCAATTAAAGAAACACTCACACACATACATGCATGCAAAAGCAAATCAAATTACTAATAGCCTTCAAAGTATGATAAGTACTTATCTGATCATTCTAATGTTGCTTTTGTTATACAAAAGCATATTTTGTTATACAAAAGCATATACCTCTGATGTTATTATACACTTTATTATAGACTATGAGAAGTAGGCACGATTTCCAAACCTTCCACCAACTTTGCATCTGCTTACCTCTGCACCCACTAGCCTGTGATCTTCCTACATCTGGTTCCCCTTTCTGTAACATCACCAGCAGCTACATGAGTCTAAAGAGGGTACTGACTTGTAGAGAGCTTATGGACTTAAGTTGGACCGGGCTGGGATGTTTTCTTGATATAAGACAACTTCTTGATATAAAACTCTTTCTTATACTTATGAGTGTCCCTGGATTTGTTTCTCTAGACGACCCAGCCTAACACAATACCTTAACACAATATACTCTACGGAGGAGTTAGACTGTCATGGAGAGGGAAATGCGAAGGGGAAATATTGGTACTTTATTAAATGTTTATTCATTCATGCTGCCCTTATATTTAGTATGAGTTCACAATATTCACCTATACTGCTTGTAGCTTGAATAGGGTAGGGTCACAGTCAGACAAGGTGAAAGACAACCAACCATTTTCCAGACATTCACTGAAGCATTCACGAGCCCAACAAGAACTTCATGCCTGTTTTTCAAAACTGCGTACCTGTTGGGTTACTGCCGGCATCGTGGAGCTGGGACCTTATGTGACTAGTGTTTTCCTCCAGAAATTCTCCAGAAAGCAGCACTGTTTTCTCTCACAGTGCTCCAGGTCACCCTGGAGTGCAAGTCCCCACGCTGACTGCCAACCCTGTTGTTCTCCTGCAATTTAAAAATAAGACCTCGGCAGGAACTTGCCCTACCAAATGGATTTAATCACATTCCTGTCAAAGGAATCAAATCCAGCACTGACCCCAATCCAACCAAAGATAGTGATTGACAGACTCTCTATGAGAGGACGCTAATGTATCTTAATTTATCTCAGTCAAGAATTTTACTAAGACTCACTGAATTGTCCATGCATGGAGTGATGGCACTCCAGGAGGATTGGGAAATTAGACTTGAATGAATAATGATAAGAATCTGGCAGGTCATATGGGGAGGAAAAAGTTGAAAATGATAAAGCAAGAAATGGGGAAAGGCAGAGAAGCTGATTAGAAAAACCCTAGGAAAGCCCTATTCCGGAGCTGGACTCTGCTCACTAACAGCAGGCTCCCCCACGAAGCTCTAGGAAAGAATGCTAGAAAATGGCTTTTGTCTCAAGATCACTACCCTCTCTCACGGATGTTGGCTCCCTCTTTACACTGAACAGCAGCCTGCATGTCACGTTCTTCTCCCCCTTACAGCCAGTGTCACCTAAGCCTCTGGAAAGAGCCTCGGCCCCAAACAAAGACCATTTCGGGGGAATATAAATGGATGGGGTTGGGGGCCTGAGGATCATTCAGCATTTTATCTGAGTGATTTTCAAAGAAAAGTACCCTGGAAAAATATCTCCAAGAAGGACTAGAGAAGTTCATGAACTTACTTTTAAACTTGGTTCAAGCTTACTACAGTAGATCCATGAGAGAGAGAGAGAGAGAGAGAGAGAGAAGGAAGCTCTGTTTCAGAGCAATGACAACTTAGGGCTTCTATTGTCATGACAGCAAGAGGTAAGGCTGAGTCCCCTCCCTCTCAGACTCAGATGGAATCCCTCTCCTATTCCATGTACCTTATATTTCAAATTCAGGCCAAATGACTGACCCTTAAACCTACCCAAGGAACATCTGGAGATTCTATGTCTGCCATGTTGTCAATGAGAAGAGGGTCTGGATGCTCCGATCACCTGTAATTACTTTCTCTCCCAATTCCCTTGCATAGTTTGCTCAAACATGGTCACAGCACTGTCAGGAATGCCCTGGACCTGGGCGGTGATGTTGGCTGAGCGTGAGATCAAACTAGCCCTCCGGTCCCTTCTCCAGATAAATCTCTGAAGCCCTAAACTGTTCAAATAAACCCTGGAAGAGGTTTTCCATCTTTATTCTCAACTTCTATCTTTTTCTCTCCTCAAAGGAACAGGGAAATCTTTCCAAAGATGCAGTTTACAGTAAAAGGAGGAGGAGATGGAGCAGTATCAACAATCAGATGCAAACGACTACATAGTACATGGGTCCGTTTATCCAACAGATCCAGAACAGGCAAATGTATAGACAGAAATAGACTGCCTAGGGCTGAAGGTGGGAACAAGGATTAACTCTGAAGGGAAATGAGGGAAATGTTGTGATGAAAATGTGCTCCAACAGGATTTTGTTGATATTTACTGGTTTTGTTTTGTTTTGTTTTTAATTGGGTGAATGTCATGGTATGTAAATTATATTTCAGTGAAGCTGTTTTCAAAAAAGAAGGCTTTAGCCTTTAGAGAAAAAAGATATTTCAATTAATGATCTAATGATCTAAAGATCATGATATATTTATGGTTAATCAGAAGTATGTAAACACAGCAAAATAAACAATTGGTTAAAATTACCAAAAGCGATACCAACACTAGCATAAAGTATATGCATTAGTATATACTTTAGCATATGGTTGGTGATGTATAGTGTAAAAGCATTTTTTCTGTTTGTGTGTAAATTTACAGGATATACATATATTTATATGATATATATTTACATATCAGATTTGGACTTGAATACAAGATACAATAATACATCTTCCACCAAGAAAGAAGATAACAATATTTAATATGATAGAATGGACAAGCGAACAAATGTGTACATTTTGATTATTTCCTTTTACTTCTCTGAGATTGTTCCTACAGAAAGATGCTAGCAAAAAAAGAATCGAAACTGATGAGCTCATGTAATGAATTATTGGTGCCCCATGTTCAACCTATTCCTACTTTCTCTTCATGGCTACACAGAAAGACTCATTTTCTCAGCATCCTTTGCAATGAGAATGAGGTAATGCCTGGCAAATAGAATGTGGACAGACAGAAGAGCTGTTTCCTTCCAAGTTCTCTTCTTCCCCCTATGGATATCATTAGAAGCGAAGAGCCCCCAAGCGGTAGCGACAACCCTTGGAAGGAGCCGAGCTCCATGAATTTCTTCCTTGGAGAGAGTTAACAGGAAGAGCTACCCAATTGGCGCTGGGCTTTGCCTGACCTACATATAAGCCTTTCCTTTGTTAAGTCATTGAGGTTTGGGGACTATTTACAGAGCTGTTTGTGTTTATTACATGAACGAATACACTGGATGACACAAGGCATTTTCCTTTCCTCTCCCTTTCCTGTTCTCCCCTGGTGCTCATCCTTCCTCGCTCTCTTCCCATTTTCCTTCCTTGATGAGTCAAATTAATGTCCGTGTGTGAGTACGAAGCCTGCAAACCCTCTACTCAGACTGAAGCCCATCAGAACCCACCTTCAAGAGCCAGGATATCTGGTGGAAGAAGATACATATGAATAGAAAGTCCCAATTCTTCATTCTGTAGAGCCAGAGTCTCTCAAATCTTTGGTTAAAATGATGGCAATGCCGCCAAGAGCAAAATTTGTTTCCCCTCCGAAAGGCCCCTGGCAGTCAAGAAATACTGAGTTGGCAGTCACCTTCTGGATCGTGAACTTGTGCTTGGACTCTGGAGAGTTGGGTAGTAGAGAAGTGCATGCTGGTTGCTCTAAAGCTTTCTGCCTACTTCTGAGGATGATTTTTCCAAAGACAACAAATACCATTTCAATTCATTCCCAGTGATTTCAGTATCCAGGTGCCTTTCCCTCCTTTTCTGCATAAAGAGCAAATGCAAGGAAAGAAGAGAGGGCCCACCCTCGTTCAGAGACAACAGCCCACCGCCATCACCCAATTCCTGGGTCAACCTCCACTGCCCCGACTCCACAACCCCAAACAAACAAAAGAATTCAAATAAAAACCAGCTCATCAAACAGTCAACAAAATAAAGTCAGTTTTTTTTTAAAGAACAAATGAAACTTGAGGGAAAACTTACTGGAGTTACAGTTTATCCTGATACAGTCTAGATGGGGAAAAATAAATGAAAGATGAAATTGCATCCTTCAAGGTAACAGCTGCAGACATCCAAAAACAATCAGTCCACCCTTCCGGGGACAGACACACGCAAGAAATGTGGCCATTTTATAGATATCCAATACGTACGAGTTTAAGGGTGGGTGTATATGTACAGTATATTGTTTAGTAAAGTTGGATACATATATATATACACACACACACATATATATATATACACATATGTATAGAGATATATACTGGTATACATATATATCCACAATAGACAGCGAGTAGACTTCTTTTTATTTTTTTCCAACAAAAAACTCTTCAGTTATATAAATTATTTCATACCTGAACTTTGAAATATTAATTCGTTAAGCTGGCAAATTAGGCAAAAATTTTTTTCCTACCAAATGCAAGTTAGATCCTCTCTCACCCTACACTTGATTTTGTTAACTTTTGTTTGAAAATAGCACTGACACGATTTTTTAATTGGTCTCCCCCAAAGATACATCACAGTCTGGCACATCGTATCATTGAAAATATTTGCCCATGAAGTTTCTCAGTGCAGTATTTAACCCTTTCTCTTTTTCTACAAACAAACGCCCCCACCCTCTCCTTAGTTCAAGGTCCCCAGTGCTGTTGAAATGGACAATGGTAGAATTGCCATCATCCCTACAGGCAAGGAAAGGGTTAACACCACCTGGTCATTTCCTGTCATAAAATGGCCACTTGCAAACAGCTAACCGCACAAATACCCATCCCAGATTTGAGAGAGGTGGGGTCGAGTGTGGCGTTAAAGGGGGGTTGGGGTCTTACCACTGTCGTTTCAAAGGCTCCCGCACCACCCCGCTCACGGAGCTCGCCTCCGTCTTCCTGCCGGAGTGCTCAGGCGGAATCAGATGCCAACGGCATTCAGGGAGAAGACGAGACAGGTGCGTGTGCAGGGGGTCTGGGGGGCCTTTGAATAGGCCTACCTATTCCAGTCTGAGAGTCTGCATCTTAAGGACAAAATTTTAAAAAAATGTTTTAATAGATAAGAGAGGGGATTGAAAGGTGACTAATTTTCCAATGCTGGCAACCGGATAGTTCTGTTATGCCAGAGATCAGGATATCTATGATTTTGGCAATATCTGTTTGAGAATCATGGACATCGCTTTCTAAAAGTCCTTGGCTAGACTCAATGGGCATTTTTAAGGGAAATAGGCAAAATGGTTAGCAATGCATCAAGGTAATTGCTACCGAGCTGCCCATTTGAACCTATGGTTGGCTTATGATGGACAGATTTTGAATAGGAATTTTTCTTATGCTAGACATTAAAAAATAGAAGCAAGATTATAAGGAAAAGAAAGCTAAACAGGAAAAAGTTCAGTAATAAACTTTGTTCTACTGTTTAGTGCTTCTTCTATCTAAGGTTTACCCAATCAGTTTATTTTACTTCTGTTTTTTATGAGGACTCTCAAGGTCAAAATGCCACCGCTTAAATGTTCCCATGCAAACCATTTTAAGCCAGCAAGTGAGGAAAAAAGGAATCAAGTCCCAGTGATGGGAGAATGAAATTATGGGCTTCTGGACAGGAGCCATTTACACACCCGGTCATTCTGAGGAAAGATGCAGCCTAGACCTTTGTTCCCCCCAAAGATCATCTCCTGAGAAAAATCTGGGTTTGGTTTCGTGCGGTTAGGTTTGTCATGTGTCGTCAACCGCAACAGAAAAGTGGGAGCAAACAGCCCTGGAGCAACTAGTACGATCACCAGACAGAGGAGGCCATGCCCCTGGGGAGGGCCGGGGAGAGGGATGGCAGGGAGGGAACAAGAGGTGGGAGCGTCTGCTCTGGTTACACCTACCACCACCCAAGGCTAGTGCCATGCCCTTGCCTGACTGGCAAAGAGAGAGAGGAAACAGACTACGGGCATGCTTCAAAGAGATAGTGGGCTTCTAGCACTAATCCTCAAACAAGGCCTGGTCTTCCTCGGTCTCTCCAAAGCTGAGGATTTATTATCAGACAGGCGCCTGGTCTAGAGACTGGTGTTGGGTTGGCTTGTCCTTTTCAGCTCACCCGAAAAGCGTCATGGCAAGTTGTCTTTAAACCAAGGTGAAATGCCAATGTGGTCGTTGAAGTCAACCACAGGATAATGGTGTCATTCCTTGACCTGGTTAGATGGGTGGTTTGAAGTGAACATCGACTCTCACCCTTCATTCGTAAGCTATGTGGGTTTGTTTTGGAGAAACAAGTCCATGACTTGATTTGGGAAAGCAATTTCACTTAGATCTCATTTTGGTAGCAAGCAAAGCTCTCATACCACCTAAAATATCGGTTCTTGAGTCTCAGAATGGTGTCTGAAGCATGAATGCTCTTGTTTTGTTTTATGTCCTTTGGTCTGAGTCATCTCTAGTGGCTTTCCATGTGGATGAGCTCTGTGCAGTGCATGGAAGAGGTGGATGGTTTCAAGAAGTCTTGTCCTCAGTGGCGCGTCCCGTAAACAGCAGTAGGAAAGCCCAGGTATGGAGGAAGGGGGCATCTGCTGAATTCAAAGGCAATGAACCAAACTTCAAGATGCTCCTCAGAGCCTCCTGTGATTGGAGAACTCCCAGGACACAATTGAAGATGGGGCCCCAGTTGAAGCTGTACCAGCATCAACTGACTCTCCTTCCAGTGGCTCAAGTCAAGCTGGGCCTAAATGGAAGAGGAGTTTCCTTCATCACGTGTTTAAAGATGACCACCATCAACGCAGGTGGAAGTCATTCAGATGGTCGCATCATTCATCGACAGTGTTGACTTGTGGCGGTAACAGATAACCAAGGCTGTGGTAGCAATTGAGATGAATGGGTTCTAGCTCTGTTACCAACTTTTTGTGGGAGCTTTAAAAGTCTGTGTATTTCATTGTTTCCAAATTTGTCACAAAAACACTTTCTGGCCATATCTCACAAAAATCGAGATGGAAATGAGGTAAGGGATTTTAAATCTTTAAGCATAAATCTTTAATAACAAAAAATATTAGTATTGTTTAATTCTACAATAAATCAAAATACAGTTGATCAATAACCAACTTCTCAACTTTTAAAAGACTTGGTGTGTGCCATACTATGGAGGGTGCCCTTCAGGCCTGACACTACCGTAGATGGCTATTTTCAGAAAGTGAAGTTCTTGGAAAAGCCTCATCTCTTTGACCCTTAGAAGATGTGTTATATTAGCGAAGTGTAAATTAGGTTTAAAGCATGAGCTTTCGTGGGAGTCAATGTGAAACAAATTGGAATATCATTTGTATTGTGTGTTAGAAAAAGGATTCAACTTGAGGGGTGAGGAAACCATGTAATAGTTTCACAAGTGCCTGGACCATACACTTGAATTCAAATTCTGTTTGGAAATCTTTCATTCTATACCCAAGAAAATGAAATGTAAACTCATAAGAAGGACAAAATATGTGTGTATGTGTGTGTGTGTGTCAAAAAGTACATGAAAAATCCATTATCTCTCAATCCAGTTTATCCAAGAATTTTGGTTCATTTAAAAAAGAAGGCGTTGGAAGAAGAATCTTTGAACAAAGCACGGATCTGAGAAGTTGTATATACACAGAATAAAACATTCAAACTTTACATGTTAGTTTTGTCAGAAAAAAATCAATAAATGCAAGCAAGTAAGCGTGGAAAACTATACCCTGTATGATTGTTCCTGAGAGAGCACTATACTCCGTAGGAAGGGGCTCCACTTCTCCACCTTGCCTAGAATATGTCCTTTTCAAAGAGATGGAGGGACAGGGGGCTGAAGCCTTTGGAAAAGCCTATCTCCCGGCTTTTGACTAGGGTCAAAACAATGCTTCTAGGAATACACATGAGATCTGTGTGTGAGTCTCTCTCTCTCTCTCTATCTCAGCATAGGGGACAGAGACAAACTGCCCATCTTCCTTCATCCTCTTTATCCCCTTCCAATTTTCTTCTTGGGATGTGACGCTTGTTACATTTGGCTGTCTAATCTTCATGAAATATTATTTAACAAAGAAAAAACTTAAGTTTGTGTAAGGATAAAGACACAATGTTCGGTTCCCCAGGATCACTTGAGGCTGAATCATCCTTTCATCTATGTCCCTCTCCTACTTTGAAATAAAGACAAAGTTAAAATTTGCCTTCATCCTTTTCTGAGCTACTTAGGGGGGTATGCTTGCTTTTTAATGTTTGGTTTGTTTTATTGAGAAATAGACAATTAGATACTGGTTGTTGGTTGGATGTGAATATACTCTTTCACGGTTTGTTTGATGGGGAGGCTAGTGTGGGGTAGGGAAGGTGGGAGGGACAGGGGTATGCCAGCCCCTGCAGGCTGCTCAGTACACTCTGTTCTCAAGGCTGTTTGCTATGCGGGCCGCAGGCTTTGGGCCTTTGAAGGGTTGAATACCATCTTTTGATTTAACATGGTTGATGAAAGGGAAGACTTGGGAACTCAAGAACACAGAAAACAATACAACAGAAACAAGAAACAAAACCCAAAGTAACTGAACTCTCTCTCTCTCTCTCTCTCTCTCTCTCTCTCTCTCTCTCTCTCTCACACACACACACACACACACACACACAAAGGGAAACCAAGAGACACACAGACAACAGAATGCAAATGAGGTTGGACCAGACAAAGGGCAAAGTGTTACAAAAGCTGCAAACTGGAAGGGGAGGGAACAAAAGACACAACTAGACAAGCCACTGCTCAAAACAGTCTGTGCACTAAAGATTTCCGCTTTGTAGTGGAGGCCATTTTCAAGTGTGACCAAATGACATGAGAGCAGATAAGAGTGATAGGGAGTTAGTCATAAATCCTGCCTGATAGGCCACCTAGGCTTTGTATGTCCTTGCATCTAGTTAATTGGTCTGTCATGTCATCTCCATGCCTCTGACAAGCTGGTCTACTGAAATATGTGTAGAGGAACTCTTCTGGATCCAAAAGTATTCAATAAAACTGAACAAATTAAAAAAACTTAGAGAGTTGAGTTCATCTACATCACTAACCTCTAAACCCGGGGTATCGCCCTCAGGGAAGGTTACTTAGAATTCAGTCAGAGGGTCAGTAGCAACAAGTCAATAGATGAAACTATCCAAAATATCTGTAATAGGTAATGACAGTGAAAAACCAGATCCATCCTTAAGAAAGCTTACATTTACAGCTGCCAGGATAGTCTAAACCAAAGAAAATGGATATGTGCTACAGGAGCAGAGTAGAGCAGCTAGTGAGTAATAGTTTGAAGTTAGTCATCTATACAAAGGGCTCCTAGACCACAGGGAAGAGTAACAAGAGGAAGATGGGGCGCATATAAAAAATAACGTTTACCTTCCATAGGTCACATACCCTAAAAGTATTGGATTATTTCTCCAAAGGGACAATAGAAATAACATGACTTATCTTCTCCACTAACAGAAAGTATGGAGAGAGAGTCTTATCAGGGTCACCCTCCTTCCTTATTCGAATAGTCATTTTGAAGCTAGAAACCATGCATTTCTCATGACCGATTGAGCTGCTTAGTGTCTCCAGTGACATCCTCCCATGTGGGCTCCTTTTCCTGTCCTGATCCTGTCCCCACTGTTGACTGTTTTGAGTGGTGACCAAGGAGATGAACTTAATGGGAATGTGTTTGATCAAAAGATGGACCAAAGTAGCGTGTTGTACACAAAGCTAAACAATTCCAAAAGACCACGAAAGGAAACTTAGAAAACAAATAATCTAATAAAGAAACCACCACTGTCAGAAACCAGAACTTGACATCAAAACCTCATGCAGAAACAAGAAGAAAGAGGTGTTTATTGCTATTGGGTTTCATCCTTGGTCTGTTAAACAAGAGGTGAGCAGCTAACTTTCAATAAAGACAAAAGAACTCAATCCAACCAATGAAAATCAGAAACGAAAAGGAAGACAAGCCAAACACAATGGCAGAGGTACTTCGTACGATACCTAAGTTCACCATGAGCTTGACACGGCCCCCATCCAGCTCCAGGCGCAGGGTGTCAGCCGAGTCCCTGGACGTCGTGGCCACCAGCAGCCCGTAAGCCCGCTGGGACATGAAGCGGAAAGATACATCTTCGGCCTCGGTGTGCATGACCATGGGCATGATGACCTTCATGTACATGCTGCCATCATAGCTCAAGATGGACGCCTCTGCCAAAACAGAAGGGAGGAGATCGTTGGCGTGGAGGAGGGAAGAGTGTCCAAGTACCCCGTGCTTCCAGGGAAGCCATACCAGCTTGGAGAGGGCAACTGCTGCGACCCTCATGTGGTGGTGACCCCAACCATAAAATACAGTTCCTCATGTGGTGGTGACCCCCAACCATAAAATACAGTTCCTCATGCGGTGGTGCCCCCAACCATAAAATACAGTTCCTCATGCGGTGGTGGCCCCCAACCATAAAATACAGTTCCTCATG